TAATTAAGCAATAATATCTACTTGAATGAAACTCAATATTTTTCAGACAAGGCCAAACATAAGGATATGTTTAAAAAGTTGTAAAATGATCTGTTTTTTTTTCTTCAATAATTTTAATGATTAAACCAATACTTGATTTATTGTATCATTTTTAAAAGGATGAGTATTTTATATCCTATTTATCATAACACATTAAAATCTATATGCCACTGGTTATAATTTGAAGATTACAATCAATTATTTTTTTTTTTTTTAATTTCAGTAACCATAGGTTACCCATTTATTTTTCCCAATAATAAACATATTTTTACACACATACAAAAAATACACAATACATTCAAACTTAAATTATCTTTTTGAATAATAATATATAATACATGTTACAAGTACTAATTCGAGTAAAGATTATAATTTTTAAAAATTCTATGGGAGTTTTTTGTTTTTGTTTTATAATGTAATATATTTTTAAATTACAATCTAAGCTGTCAATAATTAACCTCTTTATGTCCAGCATATAACTAGAAATGTTATAACATTATTTTTATTTTTCTGTTGACTGTGAGAAAAATGTATATTTCTACTTTGGATGTTTATACAATTTGATTTATTGTAACATAATACATTTTTAATGAAGAATTAAACTCATAATTATAGCATGCTATTTACATTCTTAATTAATGTTTCCAAAAACACTTCTGATTTTCATATTGTTCTTATCGAAAAACAATTATATCTTCAGATCTCCATTAAAGAAACAACAACAACCGACAGTAATCCTGTATTTAAATATAACACACTTATCTCTTTACACCAACAACAAAAAACAGTAAATATAAAATGATACAGGTATTATCTCACCAGTTAATTTTCCAACTAAAGAAATAAAATCAAAACAATTCACTTGTAAATACATAACCCACATATACCTTTACCAGGAGAGAAAAAAAATCATACACATTTACTGATAAAACATGTTTAAGGTATCACACTAGAAAAGGTAGTGAAAAATGTATAACAATCAATTATTGTAGACAAATAGTTTTTTTTTATATTTTAAATTATTTATATTTTATATTTACCATATTGAACTTAAATATTGAAATGCAATTACGTACAGACAAACATATCGAGTTCATTTATACATTCTTCTATTTATTTCTTTTTTGTGGGACAAGTTCACAGAACAGATTAAAATAGATAGACAAACTACAAGCATACCATTGATTAAGGCTGAGAAGCCATATAATTAATAACATAAGAACATTTCTTAGTCTTAACAGTCAATACTGTTGTGTGATATTTAAATAATTTATAAAATGCACATTGCGTTAAGATCACATTACAGTTCGTTTCATTTAATTAGACATTTATTCTAATTAATTGGGAAAATGCAGAAAATGAAAATATGTGTATGCATCGCAGGCTTTTGTTTTTGTTTTAAATGACTCGATTCCAATACCACAAAACTAAATTATATAGGGTTAACGCACGTTTTTTCGTGATATAAAGTCAGCAGAGTCCCGAGGAACGGGTCGTGCCTGAGCCCGGTAGGGCGGGGGCTCCAACAGTTCCGAGGGACTCTGCAGACTTTATTACACGAAATAAACGTGTGTTGACCCTATTATAGCATAAAATTTTAAAACAGATTCATGATGTATATTTAATACAAACAAATACATTAAATCATTGTGCTTGGATGGTATTTATCCAATTATACATGTTTCGGGGCCAACATCTTTGGAAAAAGATATACTTGTAAATGCTCAGAACCGAACGAAATTTCGAATTTTTTTTTGATTTAACAAAGCTTAACATTTGCGATTTATTAACTTAAGAAAAAATACACATTAAATTACTCTACCCAAGACAAAACATGACCCTCAGAAAATTCCTAGAATTATTTCTGATTGACGGTAGAAAAAAGATCAATGACATCAGAATCGTTTTTTTTTCAAGCAAAAGGTTATAATAAAAATCAGGCACTAAACATTATTCTCTCAAAGAAATATAAAGAGCATTTATCAATATAAACATCAATAAAACAACATTTTCTCATATTCATTTCGTGTTATCTTGTTTTGTAAGTTATTCGGAGGGTTTGTTTACATTGACAACGGTCCGTTTCTTAGAAAGGGCGACAACTAAGATTAGCGGCGATGTCTATACGCCGTTTTTCCGGCATAGTTACTTGAATGCTGCTCGCCGTTACTTATGCGATTGATGCCCTCGAATCAATAATTTCAATATAACAAAAGCGCATGACCCTTTGGCAAACATGGCCAAATTGCCATGTTTTTGTTTGTTTACTGGGCCCTGTATGTATTGCGCATAGGTAAAACTGGGCTATAACAAGAGCGCGTGACACATGGTTTTGGTCCCGTTATAACAGGGGCAAAAGAGGGGAAAATAGCCAATTTTATGCTATAATAAATATAATAGTATGACTTATAGAAATTTAAAGGATGATAATTCTACTATATAACTAATTTGTGTTCATAATTCTATTTTGAATGTTAACAAAAACAACAAAAAACTACAACAACAATAACAAATATTAATAATAATAATAATAATAATAATAATAATAATAATAATAATAATAATAATAATAATAATAATAATAATAAAAATAATAATAATGATAATGATAATAATGATGATGATAATTATAATAATAATGATAATTATAATAATAATAATTATAATAATAATAATAATAATAATAATAGCAATAATAACATCAATTATAATAATTATAAAATTATAATAATAATAATAACAAGAAATGCAGTTTCGTGTCATATAAAGTATCATGTTGTGAAATGAAACTGGCAATAAGTGACATAAGGAATAAACAATACGTTTAATATAAGTAAACATATGGTAACCAATAAATTACTGTATGTGTATTTAAATTCGCGGAAGCAAATTTTCGCGGAAAGGTTCACTTTGGGGGTCTATACAAATATTCGCGCTATTTTGAATTCGCGGAGGTGACTGCCGAAAATCATAAATTCGCGTAGACCACTTAGGTTAAAAAAGGAAAATAACTGTAATCATCGTGGGAGTTCACAGTTATTGTCAAACGATACTCTATTGTACAGACAAAAGACATTGTCTAGCGGACAGATTATAGCAAACAAAAGAATGCCCGTTAACGTGCATACTTTTTCACAGTTTGCGTCATAAAAGTCTTGACATCTGATCAGATCATGTTTTGGTTTTTCTGAAAAAACAATTAAAAACACAAACATAAACGATTTTAAATGAAGAATAACTTAGAAAACAAAACCCAATTACTCAGTAAAGATTTAAATAAAACGTGTGAAAGCATATCACACACTGATATGCATTGTTCTACAGAAGCGCGAAAATATGATCATTAAGAAATTATTGATGTAGAAATATTCGCGCTAAACATGAATTCGCGGATCGAATGTCACCTCGAAGATCGCGAAAATTTGAAGCCCGCGAATATTTCTACACATACAGTATGTATTGGTTTTCAGATCTAAATTTTACATACACCGTAAATGCCGATTTAAAATATCACTTTACGATATGCTTATAATGGTTTGAAATATATGCGTGGTAATTCACCGCGATCACTCTGTGTTTGGAATAGGAAATTGTATACGGTCTTTGTTAGAGGTATGATATTTGAGATGTATCGTTTATTTAAGATTTATACAAATATACATATTGGCTTAAACATAAATGTTGTTCAATGTATATGCAATGTAAAAAATAGCCAAAATACAAAGAGAACAATTCTGATGATAAAGTTGTTTGTTTTTTGTTAAAATTAAATATTATTCATGAATGCTTATTGATCGTCAATTTCCTTCAGTTGCATCTTTGTAGATTTATACAGCATAATATATATTGATATACGAGTTAAGACACAGTGTGTTGAATTAACTTGCATTTTACACTTATTTGATGTAGTAACTCTTTTATTACTTATTTTATTTGTATATTTGTTTATTTATTCATGTTTTTTTCTTCTTTTTTTGTAATATGTATACATTATACTGATTTAAATGGTTTCGATGTGTGTATATCACAATGGCCTATCAACCTAGTATACTTATAACAGCTGTCTTCAACCACCAAGAATTTTAGTCAATATCACAATTTAAAAGCTACATGTATTTCAGCATTGACTGACCCAGTGTGCTGTATATGAATTAGTTATTAAGGCATATCATTGTCTCTTTTTCTGTGTGAAAACAAAAGAGTAATACAACTTTACTGACAGCTCTGATCTGTTTTCCTAGTGTATAATATGCCATGCGATGCAACTGTAGGTAATTTCAATGTGGGCAAATAAAGACATGTCAGTCATGAGACTTTAAAATGTTTACAATCCAATCACATTAGTATCTGCAGATATTGTATGATTGAAATAATTAATAAATATACTCAAAATTTTTAAATGTTACGCTCTTAGATTAAATGTACGACTTAAATATCTGCTTTAAGATCAGTAGAAATATTTGTCTTAATCGTGCAATTTTTTAGACAAATCATTATTTTTTGTAGGGCGTAGCCAATAAAAAATTATGGCCGGATTCTATATTTGAGTTATATTTATATTAAATGACGCATTGACAAAACATAGATGTTCTTGTTTATATTCTAAAATTGATCACTGCGTCTTTACATTATTCTTACCAGGTTGATAACACACGCAATAATTCACCATAACTTTACATCAATTAATATAATATGTATATGTCTAGTTAATCAGAAAGGTTTCATATCAAAACAAAGTTATTTCAGAATATATTTCACGGCATTTGTCTTTAAAAAGTGCAATAAATCCGGAAGAAAAAAGAGTTTTGTGCATATATGAATATTCAAGCCTCGAGTCAATAGAAAAAAAAAACAAATGTGTGTACCGCTTAAGATTAAAATATATACCGAAGTTTAAAATCAGTTTATAGTAACTGGTTTAAAGAAACATATGCTATACAGGCTTAGGTATATAATTGTCTCCATTCAGATCGGCTAGTGGTTGATTATGTGTTAGCGCTTTTTTGTTCTTTGTATACATCAACTTTAAAGTTACAGGTAAAACTTGTTACCAATGCATTTAAATTTGTGTTATTTTTCTTCAGTTCTTAACATATTGTCACTTTAAAGTAATTTGATAATCAATATTATATTGCACTGACGCTGTTCTGCTTCAAAGCTGAACTTCATTTATTTTTATTGATAGAATCTAACCAATATTTTTCATTTGCATATCTGTCTTTTTATATAAAAGTAAATACTGATAAGAATAGTGAACGAGGTTTTCAAATTAATATTTGCTTTAAACGTGAATATATAAAACATGGTAAATCAACCAGGACGTTCAATAACAGATAGAATAAACTGTACATATTTTGAATAAATACCATACTTTACATTTAAAACTTTGTTGGTCACATACACATACATGTATTATAAAATCAATTCACCAATGAATAAACAGTATTAAGTTATACGATTGACATAATGGTTGACATAAAATGCTAGTTTATCAGACGCGTTTTTCAAAACACAAAATAATCTGTTCAGGATAACAAAATTGTCATAAAAACAGGACGAAGGTATATTGTCTTCAACGATTTACTAGTATTCTTTCAGATATTCAGATAAAATGTGTGCACCGAAAGAAATTGTATCCAAGTTTACAATAGATTGTTATAATACATGTAATAATACATTCTAAAGGCCTGTGGTATATTAGTGATGTTTATTCAACGTATTTAGTGGAATCCCCGATGTATATTTCTTCACGCAAACAAATCGTTGTGTAAAACAGCTATTTAAACCTTGTAAAGCGACAGGTATTAACTTTAATTTTGATTCTTATTTATGTTTTTTTTTTCATTTTTACTTAATTTCTACTGATTTGTACGACATAATAGCCTTAGATTTAATATGATAGTGAATGTATGTTATATACTTAGTTAGTAATGAAGTAAAATGTCTTATTAATATATTTTCTTTTAATTGACAGACATATCATCTATCGAATCATACTTTAAGTTGCTTATTCTTGTAAAGTGTGTATACATTATAGACGTGAATATAAAATAGTTTATCAACCCGGAAGATTTATGAACTATAGTTTTAAAGATCCACCCTTTCAATCAATATGTACCTGATGATAATACCCCAGATCGTTTTTTTTTCATTGATACTACACCAAAAATATTTAACTACCTTTATGAACAAATAAGTTTGTGAGACACTTGAGTTATATGAATGAATTTGATTTACTCTAATACTTCAGTGCATAAAGAATATAAGTCATATGTAAACTGTTCAATTATTAATTTATATATCATTATTTTTTACCGTGTTTATGTTAATATTGGGGAACTATCAGATAATCAATTGAGAACCCAATGAGGTTTACTTTTTTGACAACTGAAAGGTTTGGTTTCAAATAACGACAGTTTAAGGTTTAAGCGAAGGAAGTTTCGTCGGTAATTGTCTGAACAAATTATTCAACTTGTGTTTGAACGATGTTTAAAGATTATGCATGTGTCAGGAAACCCAAATTTTATTTTGTAATTATATCAGATATCTATACACACGTTTATTTACCCTCCGTAATACTCTATCCCCCCTGCCAAAAAAAAAAAAAATAAATATTTATGTTGTAACAGTTTCCAAAAAGTAACTCATTGGATATTTTATTGAAATATCGTTTGCTATAATTTTAGTTTAGTATTTTGTATGGAATTCAAATACAAATGTATTTATATGTTGCATGTTCTTAGCTACTTTTCCGTTTTTCAAAATTAACACGCTCCATATACATCATATAACATAATAAAACAAGTACACATTTGAAAAAAAAAATCAAAAGATTGCTTCTTTTTTACTTTTTTTTTTAATATTTCAGTTTGAACGTTAGACAAACAGAGATATAGACTTAAAACGTAAATATGTAATCAATGGTGCTTTATCAGTCCGAAAATTTTCTGAAAACAAAAAAGTTTAAACCTCATAAAATGTTTCCTTGTCAAAAGCATAAAGAAATCAAAAGTATATTTAACAAAATTTACTTCAATCATGAATAAGAAAATATTCATGTTTGAAATGATTACATTATGCTTCATACATTCATAACAAAATAATAACTGTAAATACAACTTTCTTATTAAAGAATTCTCGTCATACCTTTGGTATATAGAAATATACCAGGTTTTCTTTTAATAATGAAAGGCTTGAATAAGAAAAGGTTTACTGATTTTGCGACAGGTAAAGTGATATTTTTGTTGAAAATATCATATTTCTAAATACAAAAGTGCATTTTACTGATCTTACGATACTGGTTCCGAGCTTATTTAATTGTAATCAGTACAAAGCAGTAAATAAATAACATTCACTGACTCTAATTGTAAGCTTAAAAAAATGTTTGTGACATAGAGTACTAGTATATTGAATGAGTGTAAGTTAAATACTGAATTTATTGCACGAGTTGAATAACATTATATTCTGCGAGCCTCTGGTGAGCATAATACTGTTTTATTTAACGAGTTAAATAAATTCAGATATGAAATTACACGTATTTAATATTCTATTTATCACATACCCCTAAACAAAAAAGACCGTTTAAAGTGAAAAAAATTTTTTTTTTCATTGACGCGCCTATAGTATATAACGCTAACATTTAGCGCGTCTATACACTATGTTTGTGTAACGCTAATGATGTCACGTCAAAGTATATGCACGGCTATGGTACGCCATAGCTGCTTCATGTTATTACATTTCTTTTTATCTTTCCTAGAAAGCGTCTTATTATGTCAAATATTAGCATTGTGTTGCCATAGTATTTTGTCGACTTGTCTAAACATTGCCTTATTATGCGTAACAGTAGTCTTATCTCTTCAAAATGTGATGTTGACTTGTCTTAACATTGTTTAATTATTTCAAACAGTAGTGTTATCATGTCAAAATGTCGTTTTGGCTTCTCTGAAATGTGTCATATTATGTCAACTAGTCGCGCTATTTGGTCAAATTGTGGAGCTGTTTTGTCAAAAGACTGTTTGATCATTAGAAACAGTAGTGTTCTCTTCTCGAAATGTGGTGTTGACTTGTCAAAGCACAGCTTTATTTTATCAAACTTCTATAATATTTTGTCAAAATGCGGTGTTTAAATGCCTTAACATTGTCTTAATATTGTGACAAACAGAAGTGTTAATTTGCCAACGTACACTACTGAATTGCCTTATTATATCAAGTATTCGCATTATCTTGCTGAAATGGGGTGTTGACTGGACTAAATCATGCCTTATTGTGATAAACTGTATGCTATTTTGTCAAAAAGCGGTTTTGATTGGTTAAAACCCAGTCTTATAAAGTCAAAAAATTGCGGTATATTGTCGAAATGTGGTAATGACTTGTCAAAACTCTTTCTTATAAGGTAAAACAGAAGTGCTATATTGTCAAAATTTTATGTTTTCTTGTAAAAAAACAGAAACAGTCTTATTATGTCTAATAAATGTGTTATTTTGTTCAAATTTAGTTCTGTCTTGAGAAAGCGCTGTCTGATTTTGCTAAACTGTCCCGTTATCTTTTCTGCTCTATGTTTTCACCCTCTGCGCGGGCTCTGGTCACGTGATACTAAATTTGGACAACATTGCATCTGGGACAGGATAACACGATTATCTGGCATAATGAGACGGTATTTAGACAAGTTAACCAAATAAATTGGCAAATCAACGCCACTGTATTACATAATGATACTGTGTTTTAACAAGTAAATACCACATTTGAAAAGGAGAAATAATACTTAGCCATAAAAGGACGATGTTTAGTCTAATTTACACCGAACCTTGACAAAATAAAATGACACTTTGACGAAAAGATAGTAATTTTAGACAAGTCATCACCACGTTTCGACAAGATGATATGACAATTTGACATAATAAGACAAATCAAGACAAGTTAAATCTGCATTTGAACATAATAGCATGACAGTTCGACAAACTAAAATAGCGTTTTAACAGTTCATAACCATAATTTGTAAAGATACCACCATTATTTCACATAATAAGACGGTGTATAGGCAGGTTAACATCAAGTTTGGATAAAATGGCATGGCGATCTGAGAAAATAAGGACGTGTTTAGACATGTCAATACCATCTTTCGAAAAGTCAACAATACTGTTTGACATAATAAAATAACGTTTACACAAACAAACATAATTTATTGGCAAGTCAACACTAGTATTTCACATAATAAGTATATTTTTAGACAGGATAACAACAGTTTTAGACAAGAAAGCATGATGTTTTAGCACAATAAAACAGAATAACACCACCCCATACAAAACAACATAACAGTTTGACAAAATAAGACAATACTCAGACAAGTCAATATGACGGTTGAACACGATATCACTACTAGCCGACATGATAAGACATGAGTTTGGCAAGTTGGCACCAAGTTCCGACACGATAACACTACTGTTTCACATAATAAGAACAACTTCTAGACAATTTACCACCACAGTTGGTAAAGACAGCATGCTATTTTGACATAAGAAGACATTCTTGAGGCAAGAAAACACAGAATTCGAACACAATGACATGACAGTCTAACAAAATGTGACGGTGTTTAGACAAGTCAATACTACATTTGGACAAGACATAACAGTATAACATAATACCACAGTGTCATAACAAGCCAGGATCACATTTGGACAAGATATCACAACTAGCCGACATGATAAGACATGAGTTTGACAAGTTGACACCAAGGTCCGACAAGATAAGAATACTGTTTCACATAATAAGACGATTTCAAGACAATTCAACATCACATTTAAACAAGGGTGTGTTTAGACATGTTGAAATCTTAATTCGAAAAGATGGCGTGCATGTTAGACATATTAAGACTTCCATTAGGCATATTAACACCGGATTTGGACATGATAACATGACGTTTTAAAATAATAAGGCAGTGTTTAGGCAAGTCAGCACTACGTTTTGACAAGATAACATGAATATTTGACCTAATAAGACTTCGTTAAGACAGGTTGTCATAAAACGTTGGCAAGCCAACACTACTATTGTACATAATAAGACGCTTTTAGGGGAAAATAAAACAAAATGTAACAACATGAGGCAACTATAGCGTTCCATACACGGCCGTGCAATCCCATTTTTGCGGAGTCGCAAAATCGACACAGTTGTGTGATCAAGGTAAAAATGTAATTGTTAAATATATATCTGAATTCGGAATTTGTGAAAATGACAACTATGAAAAACCTAGCATTTTTTTTGTTGTTCATATTTTGAATTAATTTTTAATAGTCCATACAAATAGAAGGCTTTAGGATTTTTTACTGAATACCTTCAAAGTCTGTAACAAATAACATTGTTTAATATGGCGATATTTTATACTATCTATATCAGCCTCACTTTTATTTAAATGCACATAATGCGATCAAAATATGGAATACCGTGTTCAACTGAAAATATCATGGACAGTGGCGTGATGTATGATATTTCCCTACAGACAATGATTATAGCGACCTATATACACTTACTGATTGCTTTTGATGTTTTTTTGTTGTAGTTTTAGTATATTTTACATTGTTTGATCATGTTTCAATTAAATCCCAGGCTTCACTGTAACAGTTGTAAGTATTATAAGATCATACAAAATAGTGATCAGTTAAGTCTCTCATGGAAAATGCATTTAAGTAATTTAAACTTATTTATTGTCAGGACATGGAATCACATCATTTATAAACTTTACCTTTATGTTTAAAGTCTACATACCATCTTAAGTTCATACAAACAATTTTTTCAATTAATTTTATATTTAGTTTTATAATAAGATAAACTGAGTAAATGAATATTGAAGTTAATCTGTATATCAGTATAATGGTTTTGATTATCAATATGTGATGTTTAATCAAACCTATATATCTTTTTAATGTGTATTGTTACATATGTATTCACTTATGGGTGCTAGGGGTGTGGACGGTAACATGCACTTCTCAGTACAGTTCATGAACAGACTGAATCAAATTGATCCTGCAATATTTTCAATTATGTCGTGTTGGACTTTGTTAAGGGATTCTCTTTTTCTCTATTTTATTGTCACATCCGTGTTATTTGTACCATATGGTGTGTCCACGTACATTTAAACAATGATGTCATATTTTCTATCCGTGAAGATCATTTAGCACGACATTATTGTCGTGTGTTCATGTTATGCGGTACTTTTTTTCTTCTATTTGGCCTTTTTCAACTTGGGTGGTTCCAGTATTCCTACTTGAATACAGTATAATCACCCTGAGGATATGATCCATGTTTTTTTAACAATTGTCGTTTGTAGTCTTGTCTGTGATAAGCAGGCTTCATAAACCTAAGATCCCCTTTCAAACTTTTATTTTATTTAGTTTCGCCCATTGTTTTCTTGTTAAAGGCACACGCATTCTTGTACTTGGGACCATACGCCGCTTTACATGGAATAGCACTGCGGTGTCACATTGAAGGATCCATAATTACCGCCGTATGAACACACCAGCGGATGTTTATACATTCAAAATTTCTCCCTTTTTCGTGTTTCAATGTTGAATTCTGCTTAAGCCGGAGCTAGGGGGGCGTTTACGGTAACTTGCATTTTCCAATACCGTTCATGAACAGGCTCAATCAAACATAGCCTGTAACATTTTTTAGTTTGTCGTGTTGGGCTTTCTTTATCAATTTTTTTTCTCTATGTTTTGGTAATGAACTTAGTGTACATAATTGTAGTATAAAGTATTTGCTAACTAAATGCCAGTCATAGTTTTTCAATAACAGTTCCATAAAACATGTTTCATTATTTTTGTCAAAAAATCATTATGAAAGTTTAATACAAACACTTAAATACCTAACTGCTGCATAAGCAGGAATCAGCAGGAATAAAAACATAGTACTACTCAATCAAACTTAGCCTGTAACATTTTCAATTGTGTCGTGTTGGGCTTTCTTTACGGATTCTGTTTTTCTCTATGTTTTGGTAATTAACTAAGTGTACATAATTGTAGTATAAAGTATTTGCCAGTCACAGTCATTCAATAACAGTACCATAAAACATGTTTAATTATTTTTGTCAAAAATCGGTATGAATGTTTAATACAAGTCCCTTCCAACTGCTGCATTAGCAGGAATCAACAGGAATTAAAACATTGTATTCAAATGCTTTATGTTTGAAAGAAAAAATGGGAAAATCAATACACATGATTACTTTGCTACTAGCCAAAGTGTGGACGGCTCATTTTGAAAGACTTAAGTGGTGTTAAATAATTTCATAAGTCAATATCTTTTCCATCGGGAGATGCTTTTCATAATCACTCATATGATTATTTTTCCAGTTTGGGGCATTGTTATTTTATCACTGGAACATTTAAGTCATGTTCTGTATGCTTTTCTACCTGCCGATGCGATAATGCATTTACAGTTTACAGACCTTGAATTGTACATACAAACAAACCAGATTATACATATTCAGATAATAAAAGAAATTTCGCATTATGTAAAGCTTACCATTTTTAGAATGTATTATTGTCAATGGAAATTCTACTAGATGTTTATTGAAAAGCATTAATACCAGAATGACCAAACCAAATTATAAAACATTGACTAGCAAGGAAGATCAGATGAGCAAGCAGTCAAAGATGTTTACTTTACTTCTGTTTAAAAACTACAAAATGTAAAATCATTTGTCTAACTTATATTTGAAACTGTTACTAATGTTTAATTTTCAGATTATTTGACTATTGAAATATGGAAGTATCTGGAAAGAAACTTCGTAAATATTGTAAAGCTTGTGAGCAATGTAAGGCATCAACATACTCGGATGGTTTTTGTTCACAATGTGAAGAAGAAATGTGTCAACGATGTTTTGATACACATAAAAAATGGAAGCTAAATCGGGGGCATAAACTGGTTCCATCTGTCGGGGCAACATCTAATATAGGTGAAACACCAACGTTTGATAATTGTTGTAAACATCTAAACGAGCCTATTAAATTTTTCTGCCCGGAACATGGCCAAGCTGGTTGTGGCGATTGTATGGTAATTTCCCATAAAAGTTGTAAAGTAGAGTATATACTTGAACATATCGATAAATATAAAGACGGTAAACAGTTCAAAATGTTGAAGAAGGACATAGAAACATATGACGATGAAGCAAAATCTCTATTAGGAAGCATCAGGCGCAACAAGGACCATGTGAAAGATGTCAACAAAAAGTTTGCCCTTGACGTCCAATTGTTCAGGGATGAAATTATTTCACATATCACAAAACTTGCCGATGCCATGCTTAAATATGGAGATGATATAATGGCAGCAGACATGAAAAAGATCGAAAATCTAGAAAGAGAAAATAAAAGCCTAGTTGATGAAACAAATGGTATGAGAGACACATTACAATCAGAAGCTGATCAGGCTTACAAATTGTTCATCAGTTCCTTGTCCTACAGACAAAATCTCCATCTCGTCCGAGACCAGCTAGAAAGAATCAAAGCGAACAATACGATCGAAACGTACGACTTCATGCCTGACTGCAATCTCGAACAGTTGATGAAAACTTGTAAACAACTAGGAGTGTTACATAAGCCAAACGAATCTGGTGCAGGTAAGTTTCTAACCTTCGTAGTATTTTTGATGATACATGTTTAAACAAGCTAATAATGTGTGTTATATCAATAAAACGACTTATATAAAACATCTTCTCAGAATTAACATGTGTTATATTCATTTATGGTTAATATAAAGGCTTCTGTAATGTTAAACATGTTATACAGTAGCTTCTAAAACACGTTTTTTAATAATTTTGTAAACTACCGTATTTATTTTGCTTCTTTTCTTGTTTCATAAAGCAACACCAGTGGCAAAGCCGTCGCTAGACAGACAACTTGTTTGCAAAAACCTAATCATTGACGGATACTTTATCAGGTGACATAAAACAACTATTTTTTTACACTAACTTAAAACTTCGTAATTTATATGCAATTATTTCAAATAATTATTTATATTGAAAATCTTTTATAGGTTAACACTATTTTATAATTATAGGAACTTTTTACCTGTTTTGATCAATACGATTGATTTGCTTTCTTTTTCAGTTATGCTGAAAAATCAAAAGGCGACATTGGTTTATTTATTGACAAATTTGCATGGTGTCATTGTGGCAGTTTTGAAATCGAGATAATGAGCATTGGTAGAGGCGGAGCTATAGGTAACAGTTTAGATACTATAATGTTCGATTCAAATGATACTTGAGTCAAGTGTGTTTAGCCATAATAAAGTTTTATGTACCAATAAAAACTGCTTAATAGGATATTAAAGATAGAGTCGTCATATAAATCTCTCTTATATCCTTAGATTATATTATGAAAGAACATAACCATGTTTTATGATTTAAAGTAATCCAGTGATACCTTATTCGCCAATGATACCAAACAAAAAAAATTAATATGTTATATTTTTATAAAAGATCGTTTACTATTGCAACACTAGTTAAAATATATGATGGAGGATGTAAGTTTAATATTTAAATTGTTGTGATCTGGTACCCAATAGACTTCTGAAAACATTAATTTATAATCTCCATAAATAATACATTACCACTAGAGCTATTATATACTTGATGTTAATATATAATAGTTTTAATTTTTTATTAATAATATTTTTTTCGATTTTCAACGAAGTATCAATTGATTATATGAATTAATACAAGTGAACATCGTGTTTCTTTTTATCTTATAACATATTCAATAAGAATCATTAATTACGTTAAAGGAAAAGTGTCTATAACAGAAACGTAAACCACTTAGTGTTTCTTAATTAATTTTCCAATATTTTGAGGTTATTAATTATATTTGATAGATTTCACCCTTTTAATTATATATATAATATTATTCTACTTAAAATAACAGTTATAAAAATGCTAATATCGCATGTGTATTTCCACTTTATTATACAATTCAATTAATTTATTGTGAGTGTATTTGTTTCTCATTTTATACTAGTTAAAATACTATTAAATTAAAATCGGATTAGAATCCAGAAGACATTGACTTTTAGCAATAAAAATAACACATACAAATCAGAGTGTGTCATTTTAGCTATCGGAGGTTTGGTACGGATAACGATCAAAAAAAAAATCTTCTAAACCCCATAGTGAATTTAAGATATGCTTAATCATGTTTTAGAATTACTTTTCAAAGTACTGGAAGTCTCCGATGTTTTATGCTTTTATTCATTAAATACATCATTCCCCCTAACAACTTACCCCGCTTTTAAAATATTTATGCCGATTTAAACGGTATAAGAAAATAAATAAATTAAACAAAACTAAGAGCCAAGTTCTTTCTTAATATAAGCACACCAATGCTTCCAAATCAACTACAAAACAGAACGGGAAATGCAAATACATGCGATTTGCATAGTTAACGCTGAATTCCGCAAACATAGACCACCGGAAGTGACTTTGAATTGCTGGAAATCATCGTGTCTGAGAAGAGAGTCGTTTCGTTGATATTCTAATTAGAAGACGTTAAGTTTTTAATACGCAAAACACAAAATAGTGAGTGGCTGCGTGTCAAAAAGTAAATTTTATACACCAAAAATAAAAAACATGTTCATGTGTATAAATGTATAGTACAGTAAATATAGTATATCTAAATGGTTTATTTAAAAAAATATTTCACAGTAGATGCGCACCCCTAAGTACAATAAACCCAATAGATACTAGTAGAGCGACGCCTCGAGTTCGCGTTCTGAATATTAAAGTCGCTATGATGTCTTTATCTTACATTCATAGCTTTTTCTTAATAATTGAATAGCCCCCGACATGCCAGAGCGCTTCAAGACGGCCAGACCTGGGCGCCTATCTCTGGAGGTCATGCAGGTGAAGCCACGTCTCGTATATTCGTTATGTATATTTTGGAGGAAGTACTGCCACCCACAACACCCTCCACTCCAAACAGCCATAACCTTATTGGACGCGGCCTAAATATCTATGAAGCTCATAGTTCTTTAAACACAATACGAAGAACCAGGTGCAACCTATCATTAAAGAAAATAATACGTAAATACAATTATGTTAAGACAGATATGTGATATGTGATATTACTCACCTATTTTAACCCTTATGCCAGTTTTTAATTTACTGATCCAAAATTTGAAGCAGGAATTTATAAGTGTATTTAAATCTAAATTAACGAATTTCTTATGTGTCATTATACTTTTTTTTTATCCAAACACAGATATTCTAGACTTTGATTTCTAAATATTATATTAGGATTATTCAACATTAAAATATCTAACTTACTACTTTTCTCATGCTTAAATACTTCGTCAATTATGCAATGCGCAGTTCCTGACATCTCATTAATAGCTATTTGGCAAAAAGCTCCAAGCACTCGTCCAATGGCGATATCCCATCAAGAGAGTTGACTCAATTGACGTCGACGCGTTGTACGCTTTTACGTATTTTCTTTCTGCCTGAGATCGAATGTTTAAACATTTCAATGGATTGTGTTTTAATTTTGTGCGTCCCTAACCTAATATCCACCCACCACTTCATTCTTCTGAGCTTTTGCAACAATTTGATAAATTGTTTTCCGCCGGCCAACTCGTCCTCTATCTTCAATGAGTTTTTTATAGTTAAAACCTCCTAAAAATGGCCGTCGACAAAATAATGTCAAGGAACTAACCATGGTGACACAATGGTATCGTATGTACAAACAAACATTACATACGACCAAATATCTGGCGACTTCCACCCACTGACATCGGCGTGATATAAGCTCAAATAATTGGCGGAGTTTTTACGTTATATGCAAAAATTGCTGTCTTACTATACTGTGTGAATATAGTGTATTATTACACAGAACGGACCCGGGCGATATCGTGTTTACATATGGTTATTGAAATTCGATGTAATATTGCCCTTCTATGTCGGCGGTAGTATATTTTTCCTACTATAAATGCCGATCCACACCATCAAACGATTAAAGTTATACTTGAATAATGATACCGCATTGTTGCTAATGATAAATTAATCATGTTAGATGTAAAATATAATATCATATGAGAACAATCTCTTTTTAATGATAAATAATTGAATAGTTCGTAGCGAGTGAAACCATAAATGATATAATTGTACTATATGCATCATTCATGTAATGATACATTATTACATCGTTGAGGTCACTACATAACACAACACTTGCCTCTAGCGCCTTGCTGCAATTCTAGTGCACTAGAACTGAAACTAGAAATGCACACCCTGTGCCACTTACTAGTGCACGTAGAACATAATTCGACCTAGGGCTGAACCAAGGCGGTAAGCGATGAACACCTAAATCGCTTAAATATTGGATAATTTGCATATCAAAAGGACCAGGGGCCATTGTTAAGCTGCTGTAAGAAAGAAAACTTAATGGGATATTATGAAGAGCGCTCAGAGGTTAAATAACAAAGGGCAGATGAGTTGAAATATTAAGTTATGGCACCCTGTTAAAGACCTGCTGTATTGCTCTGGATGTTGGTAAAGCAAAAAAAATTTCATTACAAGTAGTACAAAAAGAAAACTGAAATATTTTAGCATTTTATAATGAACTCATTAAAATAATCATACTGCATAATTATGTTACAATGCATGACAAAAAAAGAAAAAAGATTGGTGTCGTCTCAAAAAATGGAATTGAAATATTTTCTAATCTTTTTGTTAATATCTATGTCAGTTAAAGCATACTAATGTCCCACAGGTACAAATCAATTCCACACATATCAATACTTTATTCACGTTTCATACATACCACCATTATATATATATATATTCAGAATAGTATATATTTGTGATAATCTTAGGTATGTCTTAGTTTGAGAAGGTAAGAGAGATTATAATTGAGATAAAATTGACAAAATTTAGGCCAATTATAAACATATTAATTCTTTAATGTATTTAAGGCTAAAACAACCATAAGTTAAGATAAAGAATAACTCCTTTGTATAATTTGCCCACCCCCAACCAAAAAAAAAAAACACACAAAAAAAAAACACAAAAAATCTGACTGAATTTTGTTTAATTAGCATTTCAATGTTTCATATTTCATAACCAGATTGTAATAAAATAGAATCATATTAAATATCAATTAATTTTGTTTATTTATGCACTTATTAACATTAAAGTTATAATTATTTATATTTACTTATTCTAACAATTAAGTTTTAAAGTACAAAATCTGTAAAGTTAATGACTTTGAACAATTATTGTTCTAATATTTTACGCCATATTTTACAAAATCAAATATTCACAACTTCAAATTTATTATGAAAAACTATTATACAGATATCTATATTTATCTATCTTTTTGTAAAAGTCAAATTGCTATTCATTGAAATAAAAGGTAACTGCTTAATAAATATAATAGGTCTGGTGCACTACAAAGTGCACTTATGAAGTGCACTACTAGTGCACTTTGAAGTGCACTAGTAGTGCACATCTAGTGCACTCCTAGTGCACTTTGTGTAACCTTTAGTGTGAACTCAACTGTATATGTAATTAAATTTATATTTAATTACAAATCTTTGCAAATGAATAAGGTATATCATTGTTGTAGCTGCTAGATCTAGCAATAAGAAAGAAACTTTGTTTTTGATATATTATTAACGGACGCTTTTCAATGATAAGTAATATTAAAGGAACTCCACTAAAAGTGGTTGACATGACCAGATTGTTCGATAATGTTTTATGACGGTTTACACAATAAGTTGTGTGTGCAAAATTGCAGATAGTTTACTCGCTACGTACACTTCCATTTATCCAAAGACATTTGGCAGTGTTCGTTTTTCAAGAATATAAATTCGTACTTTAAAAATGATCCCAAACTAAAAAGCGATGCAACGCTTCACACTCTTATTTGGCTTAAAATTACTCACAAATACGATTTTCAATTTATTTCTGAGAATATACATGAATTTTGCATATTGTATTGAGTGCCCAAGATGATCTATGTAAGAAATAAATATATAATGTTTTTAGGTTTTTGGACCGAATAAGAGTCCTTTAAAATGATCAAATATATAAATTGCATACACTAAGAATGTTCACGTTTTAGGTAAAATACATCAGACGTTTGTATTTTGTATGTTTGTTGCATATTCACTAAGTGTCATGTTTATGTCTTTATTTTGTTCAGTATAATGTTAGGGTCACAACATGCCTTTCGTGTCAAACTTATTATGTTACGGCGTCTGTAATAAAATAAACA